ATCGGGAGGGGTAATTAACTATAGGGGCTTGCGCCTATAGGAAACCAGAACTCAGATCATAAAGTCCTCGCAAAATGAGGGCGAAATCTCTGGGTAGTGTCTTATCTACAAACCCATCTGCCTTCCAAAATTTACCTCGGAACTTATTCGTTAAAACTCCCTCGCCGAATAAGAAAAGCGAGCGGGGAGGCCGGGGCCGAATTTTCGGAGCCCACAGTTTGATCTCTTTTGCTGCCTTTAGCCTCGTGTGATGGTTCCCCCACATGCTCTAGCAAGGTTACCAGTGTGCTTCCCCTTTCTTTCATTAATTCTTATCTTCTAATAAACTTAAACATGAATTGATAGACGAAATTTATTCTTTATTTTTAACATGAAATATAGTTATCAGATCCTTTTAGTTTATCGGTTTTCTGCTGTATTTGACCCTGTAATGTTTTTCCTTCTAAAACCTGCTTAATTTTCAGGTTGCACAGCAGCCTTTTATTTTGCAGTCTCAGCTCTATAGCAGCATAAAGGATAGGACACAAGTAGATAGAGACTTGGAGGTCAATTCTTTTCTTAATTTTTTGCTTCAAGAAGCTATCTTTAAATGTTTTTTTAATTTCTTTGTTAAACAAACAGATTTATGTCTATGATATATTTCATGTTTTTCAACATGAAATATATCATGTTGAAAAACATTTCATAACAAGTATTGTTCAAAATGCTATATTTCTATACATTTTCCAAAGAATCAGAATGAGTAAACAGTATATTAATTGTGAAATTAATTTGAATGTCACCATGTTATTGAACATAATAATAAATGGGGTGTCAAAAATATCTGTTTTCTAAGCATTACACACATAGCAAGGAAAAAAAATTCTTTTCAAGTTAATGTTCTTTGTTGATAAAAATCATCTCTTACCATACAGACTATCCGTTATGGGACTTCTTTATGTTCTTGGTTGGTGGATTGATGTTTGCAAAGTTTTGCTATGAATACTTTTCACTTTAAATATCAAAATAAATGGTTTGGGTCAAAATTATTATAGTGGTCTGAATTGAACTTGGCATGCTTTACTTTATTTCTTTCAGGGTAGAGATATGTCTATATATACGTGTGCCTATGCTCAGAGATGATCATTTTAAGTTTTGATTAATCAAAATTTATAGTACCTTAGTACTGCAATCTGTGTGTAGGCATAAGGGCAACTGCTAGGCTGCCCTTATCGTGACTGGGAGATCACAGGTTTGAATGTGGAAACCACCTGTTTGCTATGGGGCCATATCACACGTCAACGTTTCCTTGTCATTGTGGGGTTAGGGGACTCCTGCTCTACCGGCTGGAGCCTTCTGCACTAGTGGCGGGAGCCTCCTGCACTAGGTGGGCTATTTTGGTAATTCGAGAAGTGGCTTAGCAATAATTTAGTTGTTTTTGTCATGGAATTTACTTCAAAATGGTTAAGACACTTATGGCTAAGTTAGAGCTCATGTATAATATATGTGCTATCATTGCTGATTCCTGGACAATCCAATTGTTGCATTTACTGAACGCTCATTTTTTTCCCTCTTCAAGTCACTGAAGAAAGAGAAGATTCTGCGACTGTTCAAATTAAATACAGGTCAGGATGACCATGCAATAATGTTTTTTGAAGATTATATAAACCAGGTAAACTTCCTTATCCTGCCAAATTACAATGTTACCATCTGTGCAAAGGAAATCTATGCATTAGAAGTCTTAAGTGTGCTATTTTCTATCATTAACCTACTTTTGGAAAATCTTAGTCAATATACCAAATGACCAAAATACTTATCGTCTCGGTGTTTTAAGCACAATTTTGTTCCTCCTTTTTTAAGAGCTTTGGTTTGTAATTTCCTATTGTTTGTTTTCTTAATCAGTTTTGAAGTTTTGTGCATCTGCCTGCTATACAAATCATGGCTGGTGGTAGCACTCACTGGAAACTTTAGATTTGCATTATAGAGAAAGAAATGGTTCTTATTATAATGGTTAACTGCTGTTTCTTCGGTGTTGGATGGAATCAGTTACTTGAGCAGTCCAAGCCCTACCTTTACATGAAATAAAGTCTTATGTGCTCTTTTTTTTTCTCCTCTATGAAACATATTTAGGAAAGTTCAGCTCTAAGGCCTTTATTTGTTTATAAATCAATACAATTTTCTTTAAATACATGAACTTATGTGCCATACCAAGACTTTTTTAGTTAATAACTTTGAATGACTGCAAAAAGTTCCCTACGTTGTGTGCGTTGGTGTTGTGGTTTGTTGCTATATTAGTGAACCTAAGATGTGGATGTGTGAGCTTAGAATGGGACAGTAGGGTGGTTTTAGAAGAGATTACGGAGGTATTAAGGATGATTAAAGGTTGACACGAGTTAATAAGAGAATAAAATGCAGGTTATTGGTTCTTTTTTTTTTTTAAAGTCATTATTGGGCTGAGATTTCTCATGACCATTGTGCACCTATGCTCTTAACTAGTAGAGTACCTCTGCATGAACACGATAGAGGACATGGAACAACACTTTTACTTGGACCATAAGTATTGAATTAGGTACTAAATGTTTGAATATAGTATACATATGTCTGTTTATTTCTTTATGGTTATTTAGGTGCAGAGGTAAGTTCATAATTCATTGCTTTTTAGTTGCCTATTTGTCTTTATTCATGCACTTACGATTGCATAAATGGTTGCTCCATGGCTATACATACCTGTTCTCATGTACTCATTTTCTTATCCGTGTATACACACACACACACGCTTGCATGCTTTTTAGTATAAATTTAGTAACACGGATGCACAAGCTCCTATTGAACAATTATTTCAAATATTCTCACATCAAAATTTGTTTTGTTAAACATCTATTTTTTTCTTGTCTTGCGAGTTTTATATGATTTTTGACAAAGTTTTTAGGGATCTTTACTCTGGGAAATCACTAAACCAATAAGCGACTATAGGGTCCACGTATTCTATTATTATATAGTTATAATAAAATAAGATATGGAAGGATCCTTCATTTAGAATTTTCTAAGCTTCATTTTTTACTACTTTGTATGCCTAGTTCATCTACTATCATGAGGGGTTGATGGATATGTTGATTCATGAATTTTAGAACCTTAACTAGTTTAGCAAACTGGTTCTGCGACTTGAAAAGTTACGAAGCAGTACCTTTCACTTTGAATGTATAATCATTTTCTTTGAACATTGATATTATTTGGTAGTTAATGCCAATTTCCTGTTTAGATCAACAGAAAAAAATGTACGTGTATATATATATATATAATTTATTTATCCTAGATATCTTCGAACAGGGAGAAATTTTTTAAGAAGACTGGAGATTTATGATTATTACTCTTTTTGATATTTATGTATAGATGGATATTGCGGTGAAGAAGTTAGGTGCCAGAAGTACGCATGGTATTGAAGTTTTTGAGTGGTTCAAAAATCATGTAATTGAATGCAAGCTGGATGTGAGCATAGATCATCAAGAGTTGGTCAGTTATTTCTATGTTATCTAAGATGAACTGCAATTTATTTCATCTTACATAGTGTTGGGTCTTTTGATAATGTGGTATTAGTACATGATTATTTTTTTTTCCCAAATATTGAAATCTATTTTAAATACCCTATTAACTGAATGTAGGGTATAATGCTAATAATGCAAATTCACCAAACGGAGGAAACATGTACCACATCCTGTGATCAATAGGATGCTGATAAATGTTGCTCTCATCCTTCCAGAAATTGAAATGAATTTCACTGAGATTGCCCTCCTTTGAATCGTATTCAAGCAAATTGTTGTGCCATGGATCTATTTTAGGAAGTTAATCTAACAAGAGCAACCTTGCGATGATACTAATTGATAGAAAAGTGGCATAGCTCAGAATGGAATGAATTGGGTTAAATTTTTCCTTCAAAATTTAAACACTCCATTCACTCGCATTATCGAAAACAAAAGTGCTGAAAATAATTTTCAGAAAAGTAACTTGTAATCCAAAAGTAATGCAACCAAGATTTTTTAGTGGTTTGACCCAAATCTGATCAACATCTACTATTTAAGCAATCCCTTCACACCTGGGTGATTAAAAATTAAATAATTTTGAACTCTTCAAATCTCGATTCCTTCAAATGCCTTTGTCTTTTCTCCGACCCATCCATTGTGCTGATCAAACTCCAATAATTGTAAGCTTCTCATTTTCCCCATAAAACACGCTTAACAAATAATTGGAAAATCAAGACATGTTTGTTATCATCAACATATATTATAGACTAGTTAAAGTTGACGGGGCTCATATTTTGCTCCACCTACTCCATAGTCTATAGCATGAATTCTAACTACTACCATGAATATTTTGCATAAATACGTTAACCAAGGAGCTGTCAATTGGAATTTGTTTACAGGGAACTTGTGAGTCTGTTCTAAGTGCAAAACAGAACATTGTTCTTGAGATCATATTACTTCTTTAAAATTCGCTAAAAAAAAATATTTTTGCCCGGTTATGAAGTTTTTTCCTGTTTATTCTTTTAGGGCTACCTGCCCATTTAGTCCGTTATTAATCCTTCTAGTTTTTCAAGTATGAAGGGTGTTGATATTTGATCTAAAAAATGCCGTGCAGCTACATTAGAAAGCATAGGGTGTCAATATTGTTTGCATCCTACATTTTGTTTGCTAAAATGATAGTTACTATTGTTTTGACATTTTTTTCTTCTTTGTTGCGTCATAGCTCATTCTGTTGTCAGCTGGAGGTGAGGTGCAAGATGAGGATATAACACTTCTAATCAATGCCGGTCTTCTTGTAAGTAATACTTAAAGTCGAACTTATGATATTTGGGATTCTTGCTGATGTATAAAAATAATAGTACACTACATTTGCATTCATCTGGTCATGTTAATGGTACTCTTGATAAATCTGGGCAGGACTTTATTTGACAATTCTCAGTAAAACTAGATCAATCAATTTTGCAAGATGTTTATTGGTGGAAGGAAATTTAGAGGTGTATAGCAATTTATTATAAAACAAGATATTACATGTTTAGATTTGATTATCTATACACTTATTTCTGGTTTAATCTGATCTGAATGAGAAGCTGTACAATGATAAGCATGATATGTATTTTAACTATCAAATATATTTTCATAAACAAGTTTTTTTTATACAACAGTGATTAGTCAAGAAGAAATTATGTCAATGATTCAAATTTGTGTGCATCATCATGTTTTTTTCCTTTTATGTTCACACTGTGCTATGATAGTTAGCATAGTTGGATCAAACACTTAAGTGAACATAGATGCATTCTAATAGGCATATTGGATTAACCTAACCTACATCATAACCTGTTTACACAATAACATCCCTCTCATTGTGCTATGTTTGCATTTTGAAGCTTATAAAATATAGAATAATTTGAAAATGAATTGGAATGAATTTACATAGCCAAAGCATTGTAGGACAATCCATATAGTGTTACTCGTTTTACATTTTTTTTAATGTCTTCAATGTGTCCATTATTTACATTACTTATAGAAGCTCTATTTCAATTCTAAACACGATGGAAGGAGTTTTGGCATTAGAGAGTTGTAATGAACAATTATTATTTTTGGACTAGACTCTTTAAGTTTTTAGTTTTTCCACTATTTATAGTATGTATGATTCTAGAGCAATAGTAAATTTTTATGTTATCGAATTTGCCAAATAATTTAATGGAAAGTTCTGACGAACATCAGCACGTTTGAGGATCTTCACAGTACATTATTTTACCCATTTTCTTATGTGAGTCCTTTTAATCCTGTAGACTCGCCAAATGATTGACCCGAATATGTACTGGTTTGCAATTCCATACATTGGCTCTGTACTCAAAGGTCTGTCCCAGGTAACTTTTTTTCTTTGTATTGCACATTTACTGTACTTGTGTTTGAAGAATTTTGATGAAATGTCCTTTTTTGTGGAAAATGTATGGATGCTTTGTCGGTGAACTGTGCTATGACGTTACTATTTCATTTAATATTAGGTAATCTATTGTAGTTGTTGCTATATATTGCCATAAATACTGGTATTATTTCAGACACCTGTAAAATCCCTTAAAAGGAGTGCGTTGTGTATGCTTATGCGTGAGCATCTATAGGCTTCCATTTAATGGCTAGTATTAGTATAGTTCCGAAATGATCAAGGAAGTTTATAGTTATAGTAAAATTACATCAAGGATTAACATTAAGCCCATAACTTTATATTTTAGTTATGAAGGTGCTTACAAAGGATATTTCAAGTGAGATGTCTTGTTATTTTCCTTTTTTTAAATGCCTTAGTTCTAGTAGGTGATATAACATATGCTGACTTTTTCCTCCTGGTGTTTATCATTGGAATGCTACTCCATCCTCTTCAAAGATTGACAATAACTCTTACAATACCCTTTTTTGTCTTGTAATTGAAGAAAATTACATCATTAAACTTGCTATATGACATTCTTCTTTCATGATTAGAGGCAAGCTGCTTCTGTAGGGGTGTCAAAATTGGGTTGCGTGTCGTGTTTGGGTCGAACCCGACCTGATTCTGACAAACTACTGTTGACATGACTCGAACCCAACCCGTTTTTGCAAACAGGTAGAAAAATTCAACCCGAACTTGACCCGTTGGATTTTCGTGTTGACCCGACCCGACACGAAATAACGGGAGAAAATGGTTACCTTTGCAACGAGCGAGCTCCCTCCCTTCGTTGTTGTTACTTCCAATCCCACCAAAAGAATGGCGAGTTGTCGTGACTTCCGACCCGACAGAAGGAACGTTGTCGTAGGAGGCGAATGAGTCTTTTATCGACTGATTGGCCGAAGTAGCACGCGAATGGGAGAATATGGTTACCTTCGCAACAAGCGATGCCTCCCATCGTCGTCATTCCGACTGGTGAGTTGTCGTGACTTCTGACCCGACAGAAGGAACGACGTCAAAGGAGACGCAGACTGTGGTGCAGGATGGGAATCGGGTCTGTTCCGGGTTGAAGTCGGATTTTCGGGTTGACCAACCCTACCCGAATTTGCAATTGTGTCAAGATTTTAAACCCGAACCCGACCCGTTTCACAAATTGGTTGACCCTAACCTGAAATTTTTTAATCGGGTTTGTGTTGGGTTTTCGAGTTGTGACAAATATTGACACCCCTACGCTTCTCAAAAGATCTCTCTATAGCCAATAATTAGTTAGCCTACTTTTTATCTCTAATACCATTAAGTTTAGTTATCATTTCTGTAGAAAGAATTGAATTCTTAACATCCTGTGACCTTATTTTCTCTCTACCATATAACATGGTTTCATGAAAATACTTATCAAAGGGAAGTAAAGAGCACAAGAGTAATGAAGTTTGATCCTCAATATCAATCATCACATTATATTCACTAAATCCCAAATAATTTAATTATACCGGTGAAGATTAGATTTAATGGGCATATCATCTTGCATGAGCAGCAAGCACACTCATTGCTCTAGATAAAGTTTGTTGGAGAGGCCTTTACTACAGTACAAAAACCCCAAGTTAACTACAACTCTTAATTTTTTTTTCTCTACAACCTCAATCAAGATTTCATCCACAAAACATAGCTATTTCATTGAGAGACTTTTTATACATTTTTGTTATATTTCATGGATATTTGAACATCTTATGTGTGCCTTGATAATCCCTTGTTGGGTTCCCATACTTATCATCTTTATTCTTTAAGCCCAAATATCTTCGGGCCATTAAACTTCTCCATTATATATATCATTGCTTGCATTTCAATAATGGAAGTGTGCCCTCATGTTTCTATCTCCTTACTTTGAATGCAAGCAATTTAGATAAATTTGTTTTAATCTAAGTTTTGTAGTTATCTTGATAATATAATTGAGACAATGTCCTTTAAAACTCTCCATGTGTGGACATAACAAAATATTGAAAAGCAAACTAAAAAATACAAGCTTAATAGAGCTGGACTTAAATTATGGCATCTAACTAGAAAATCTTGAATGAAGATGTTTTCATGATTATAAACTTGAGATCTACCATATATCAAACTAAAGTAAATTACTCTTGTCACTCAGTAAAAGAACTAATACGGATCTCACCAAGGGAAAAATAATGTGGAGTTTGCCAAGTAATGATTGTTAGTGGGGCTGTTGAAGGAAGTAAAGGAGAAATGTTATTCATTTGGCTGATGAGGAAGATATCATGTGAAGAACATGCTTGCAAGAGTAACATTTTTTATAAGCCTTTACACACATGCACACACAAACAAAATCTGTTTTATTGGCAAAGCTAGCACTTTGGTTTTTAAACCAGTGGCCAGTTCCGCGTGACGTGTGCGTTGCCGAATGCCAGCTAAGACTTGACGCGTTGCGTCCCGAGGCGACCAGGCCAGGCATCTCAGGCCAGTTCTGCACTTCCGCGCGCGTTGCCGCGTTGCGCCCGAGGAGGCGAGGCCAGGCGGCGGGCGCCCCAAGTCATTTCCGAGTCGCCGACGTGCGCATTTTCGCATCCGCGGGTCGGGTCGGGTTGACCCGAACCCGAAGCGGGTCGTGTTCGGGTCCAGCAAATCGACCCGTTTGCAAAACCGGGTTGGGTCAACCCGAACCCGAATAGTGCCGGGTCAGTTTCGGGTTCGACCCGAACCCGACCCGTAACCCGAAATTGACAGGTCTAATCCAAGTTGGGGCGATTCAGCAAGAATTTGCTTATAAGAGATAAAGGAGTATGGTCTAATAAGTTCAAAAATGTCATCATTAGAGAAAATTAGTGCAATTTTGGTCGATGATTATTTATGTTGATGTGGAGCTTACTTTTCATGAAAATATTATATAGGATGAAATGAGAGGGGATGTAACTTGAATATGGTAATCAAACCACATCATTTGCGAAGGAATGAAAAGTGCATCACAAGAGGCGCATTATTTGGAGATATGAAGGTAGGTGGAGCCGCTGAGATTATAAGAGCCACTTCATGTATTTGTATAATGTGTTTGTATGTCTATGGTACACGTGCATTATACAACATGGGTTCATAGGCGACACTTTTTTTTTGATGGTTTAATGCGTCACACGAACTTTAATGAGAGGCTCGTGCAACCCATAACATGCTACGATGTACTATTTTATTTCTTTTCAAAAGCAACTATTCACGGGGTGTCTATGAGTCCTTGTTTGAATAGAGACCATTTTGGCGATTTGGATTTTTTATTGACGCGCGTCAAGCGAGTTTCATGCGAAGCTGCACTCTTTTCCTTTTGAAATTCATCGTGCAGTCAACTCAATCCCGATACTAGTATTGAGGTCAACAGATGATGCCTGCGAGTTACCACCAGTAGGGTGAGGTGTGTTACATAATAGGGTACACTTTTAGCTAGACACGAGCTTGTGTGCAACTATTTGTTGAGGATAAAGGATAATTTAATAAATGCAAGCATGCCTTTATATTTACAATACTCTTGCATTTAAAATGCGAGGAAAAGGATGGCAACAATAAAAGAAAAATGCAACTTTTAACTAATTCAAACTACAAAACATAATATACTCATCCACTTCGACTTCGTTTGGGATAGCTTTTTTACTGTTTTCTAAAGCAGATTTTTAGTACATAAATTTCTTATATTAGATATTTGTATTAGACAATTATTTTATAAAGTTGTCTCGAGTTTAGCCTGCTTCAGGTTGGTTCGATACGAAGCCAATTTTTAAATTTTTGGATTGGATCAACAACTAACCTGTTTACGATTTAATCGATCGAACCGGTTGTAATCGATTTTAAAACAATGCATATCCAATAGAGTGATTCATCAACAACCAACTATATATATATATATGATTTGGCTACAAATAAGATTTACTAAATCATAGGATTAAACATATAATGTAAATACCCTAAAAATCTATTTGACAATATTTAAATCCCGCCTAAAATGGAACATCAAATAAGCCCAGAACTATTGATTTCTTCTAAGAAATTTTAACATCCTTCAAAAGCCGAGCAGCTAAGGCTCCATGTCTTCTACTCTCCCAGTCACCAGCCTTCATGTCTGCTACTACTGGTGCTATGAGCTCAACACCTTCCTTCTCAGCCAAATCATCTTCTGTTTCACTATTATGATTCCCACTGTCCAGTAATGGTGCATTTGTGTTCTGTAGATTGTCTTCAAGTATCTGCGGAGGCTTCAGTTCCATTATGAATAGCTGAATGCTTGGATGTTGATATTTTATATCCATCTGCACCCAGAAATCAGTTGTAGGACAGATCAAAATATTTATAGATACAGATCATCAACTATTTCTGATCTCGCTTTGGCGCTTCTTGTTCAACAACGAAGCTCTAGGTTTCATTTGGGATGGCTTTCTTGCTGCTTTGTTTTAGAAAGCTATTCCAAACGAAGCGCTAGATAGAGATAGAGTTAGGAATTATGATTTTAAAAAATTAAGCAATTAAAAATTCAGAAGATTGTTATACCATATAAGTATACCTACCACTTGAACTTTCCATCCATTTACATAGTTATTCTAACATTCATATGTTAAATTGGCCCATTCAATAGCAACGAAATTTAGGTTTTATTTGGGAAAGCTTTTTTACTGCTTCTTAAAACAATTTTTTAATACAAAAATTAAAATTTTTGTACTAAAAAACTGCTTTAAGAAGCAATAAAAAAAACCTTCCCAAACGAAGCCTTAGGTTTTGTTTGAGACGACTTTCTTGTTGTTCCCAGTTATATTAAAGGATCATTTTAATCCCTCAAATCTTTAAAAATGAATCAAAATAGTCATATGATGAGACTATTTTCAAAATAATCAATGGCACATTTTGATTCTTTTCTCCGCATGAAATAGTAGCATCTAAACACACCTTAGCTTTTGGGACAGTTTTCACGACAAAATTATCCTTCCAAATCTGAATCATCTGCTCATGCACGGTTGTTGACCGAATTTCATAACCTAACTGCATTAAGGAGGGATATTTCAACCACAAAAAAAGGAAACCATCAGTAACGAAGAATTTAACCTTAGCTGCTTACCATAATTGTTGTCTTAGGCCCAGATAAAGCCATAATTGTTTGAACAAGTGGCTCCAACAGATGTTCTGCATAAACCTTCAGAAGTTATCAAAATACATGTTAGCTCAATATTAGAAACAGAAGGATTGCATTCATATTACAAGTTCTCAAGAATACTGGCATGAGAATCAAATATCTTACGCTTCGTTTGGGACGGCTTTTTTTTCTACTTTTTAAATCAACTTCCTAGTACTAGGAAGCTGCTTTAAGAAGCAATAAGAAAGCCGTCCCAAACGAAGCCTTAGTTGAAATAATATCTTGTCTGAACTCACAATATCTGTGCCGATGATGTAGTCAAATGGGGGGCAAACAGCTCTTATGTGATCTTCATTTCCCCAATCCAACTCAGCAACCTCAATGGAACCAAGGGAAGCTGTGCAACAGTTATTTATGTCAAATTCAGCAAATATTTGGCAATAACAATTCTAGTAATGAACTTAGGTTCTTTTACTCCTTACTAGCATAACATGCATGGATTTTCAGTAGCATGAATCAACATGATATGTTCGATTTAGTTTTCATTTGGGACGATTTTTTTCTTACTTTCTAAAACAGCTTTCTAGTATAATTTTTTTTGAATTTGAGATTTTTGTACTTAAAAACTGTTTTAAAAAGCAGTATGAAAGCCGTCCCAAACAAAGAATAGGCTAGCAGAAATTACATATATAATTTATTTATTAATGTTCAGAGCAGACCTGAATCATTTGCTTGCATTATCCATGAAGTGTTGCGAGTAATATTTTTCATCAGGAGAGGAAGGACCTCAATTTGGTCTGTAGAAACTACATTGCATCCTAATAGCGCCATTCCTGGAAAATTATTTCTCCAGTAACATAAATAAAAGGATTTGTAAATGCATAAGTAAGATGCCTACATTTGTTAAAGCAGAATAAAGTAGCATTGAGAGTCACTCACCTAAGCCAGCTAAACCACAACCAGCTCCAAGCTCAATAGCTCGTTTTCCTTTCAACTTGGATGGGCTAAATCTACCTTTTCTGCTGTTCTTTTCCTGAAGAAAAATGGACTGTCAGGCTAAAGTGTGAGATGGCACAAAATTCACTGAAAATATATGAAAGAAAATTTAATATTTTCTGCCAAAATTTTGTGATAAGTGTCTCCAGCATTTCCACCTACCACACTCCTAGTTGTCCTACTTGTCGTAAGGACTCATATTGGGATTCACAGTCTTACAATATTAATAAAGTAGGGAAGCAAAAAAGATGAATCGAATATAAGAGAAGAATTGGGGTTGTAGAAATAACAAAATGATAAGGAACTTGGAAGAATGAATGCCTCTGAGAGGGAGGCAATGGGTATAGAGGAAGAAAGCATTCCAAAAGAAACTCTTTTCACTCCATCTTCAACTCCAATCAAATAACAAAACATTAAGTCATATTTATGGAGAGAGATTATTGAAATTTACATAAGTGCTCTATAACAAATTAAAACTAACAAGTCTTGCATGAACTATAATAAAATAATGAGAATGCACTAATATTACTGATTTACTTGTATCTACTTTAGGTTGGTTTGTCCTCGGTGTTGATTGGCATTGGCTCAATTGCCATTGGTTGAGTCTAAATTTTGCATCCTTTGCGTGATTATGTGACTACGTGACGAGTCGGTCATAGTAAAATAAGTTGTTGTCTTCTTCATGGAGATCCTATAGATCTGACATTATATTGGTATCAAAGCCATGGGCTCAAAAGAATCCAAGGTCAAAGATTTTAAAGTTATGTGTTTTCCTACATCAATACTTAGGAGTAAATTTTACGGTGTTGAGGCGATAGCTATTCTTATTGCTAGTTATTATATATGTTTTCCTAGGTAATAAGTTTTAACTCTCTTTGGCTCTTCCTAAAATGAAATACTTTGCTACCATCATGGTCACTTAAGCTATTTTTGCCAATATACTCCCAATTGTGCTTACTTGCAAAGTTGCATTTTTGCACTTTAGTTTGAAATGCATTGATCAGCATGTACCAAATGTCTCTATTAAGTTTAAATCAAAAACAATGATTTGTTTTAAGAAAAGTTGTGATTACCAGGAACTTGATGAAGACCATCGACGAATCCCAAACAGTTGTACCAAGATGCTTGGAGTTAGGATCCTGCCACCAAGAAATACAAACTTGTATTGATTTTCTGGACATAAATAGAATGTTGTCAGAAAATTATATCTTTGTGTTATATGCATACATTTATGCAAATATATAAAGGGATCTTCTATTGTTTATTTATTTTTTAAATTGCTTTCACTTTTTGAAGTTTTGCATAGCATGATATAAGCAAATTAATATAGAGGAAAACTTCAATAATACACACATATGCCACCAAAGAATCATCAGTTGTATAAGATGATGCTAAATTCAAAATTATTGCAGAAGCATCAGAATGCCCCCGTTCAGAAAGTTAGCAAAATGGAGGTCAAGAAGTTATTTTAACCAAAATTATGAAACAGAAAGGTAACAGGAAAGACTACGCAACTCACTTTAGTCCGTTGGTTGGGAACTTTGGCCACCAACCAAGAGATCTTGGGTTTGAATCTCGCGTATGTGAGTTTGCCTTAATTGGCCTAATTGTTCCAAAAAAAAAAAAAAAAAAAAAAAAAAAAAAAACATGAAAGACAAACGAGACAGACACCAAATGTTAATTACATTGACCAACATATCAAGGCCATTGCAGAGTACACCAAATGGAAAAGCTTCAACCGGAACACTGAACCATTAACATGACCCAAATAAGTTTATGCATTCTCAGTTGAATTACATCCACAAATGATTTCAGTGTTCTATTAACCCTAAGAATCTTAACACATATTCAAATGCTGATCAAGAACTAAATCAAAAGGGCGTTGTTTGGCTTAATTTTCTTCAAAATATAGTGTACTCAAGATTGAAATGTTATCCAGATCTCACAATAATCTACATTGGAATGTGAAGATTGCTCTATAGAGTACTCAAGCTTGACAATTAATCCAGATCTCACAATAATCTACCTTGGAATGTGAAGATTGTTGTTCTATCTATAAAGATCAATGGAGATTATGAACCTCCTTTTTTCCCTTTTTTTTTTTAACTTCCTTGAGTTGATTTGACATCACAATATAGATGTACCAAACAGCCTTTAAAACACAAAATCCATCCATACCTTATTGTAGCAACAAGAAGCCAATCCACCCACATAAGAAGTATGTTTATGATAAATAGAGTGAAACCATACAGAATAAAAATGTCAAACCCTCATTGAGGTAAAGCGATGGCGACGAAAAATAATGAACACGGTGAAGATTATGCTCAACACAGGTTTAAAGTATAAAAACAGTAATTAATTCAATGATTGATCGTGCTTACTCTTCTTTTTAATAAGTAGTCTCATCAGTTTTTCACAAAAAAATCATTCTAAATTCAAAGCATTTAAATAGTATTTCATAGAAATCATAAAAAACTATGAAAATCACTAAAACATTTTACCTGAGACAAATGCAGATGGTGCCCTAAAACCTCAATTACCACAGCTGATGTGCTCGGAGAATTTAACCTAGCAAGGCATGGCAGTTGCAATGGCTTGGTCAACAAATCACGCCAATGGAATTTGAAAGACTAAAATGCCAATATTTAAGAGCAAATGATATGTTCAGAATTATTATACTTATAAAATAACCAAATTATGAGAAAAGTAATGAAATGTACTACTATAAAGCTCCTGATAGTGTTAGAGAATCAATTTGCTTTTATACCAAGAAGATCCACCATAGAGATGATTTTTTTGTTAAGCCAATTATTAGAAATGTACAGTGCAAATAAATTAGCCCCATATAGTTCCTAACAATTTGGAGAAGGAATATGAGTGAGCATTATGATATTTCACTTGAAAAGTGTTAAAAAAAATGTGTGCCAAAGTACATTCAAGTCGTAAGGATCGGTAAGATGAAATATCAACTGGTTTCAAAGAACTTTTTAAGTAACAAAAAATAGTTTTCAATCACAGTAGAATTACATCAAAGATTAGCAATAAATTCAGCTGTTTATAAAGAATATTAAAAGCATGGTATCTTAGTGTATGATTTTATAATTTAGAAGTTAAAATATTTAAGAAAATGTTTAGATGATAAAAGCAATAAAATGAGCAGAGTAATGATCAACCTAAAAGTTTTATTATATGATTCTTTAGGTTGAACCTGGCCAAGGGGAACTGTTCCCTTGGACCCAAATATATCTGCCAACAGTTACTTAAAAGTTTGACCACCCTAAAAATTATAGCTGATTCCGCCCTATGTAACAACAACGATATGTTTCTAACCGCTCCTTAAAATAAGCTTAATAACGAGTAAATTCATAAATTAAAGGCACTTCTATGATGAAAATATAGAAGAGAAATATCCATCTATCTAGCTAATAATGAAGATCTAAATTTTTGACAATAACATATCATATATAAAATTTAATTATAAGGTTTCCAATGTGTTCAAGTGCATTTCTTACACACTATAATCCATAAATCATCATGTAACTTCTCCTAGAAACACATAATTCTATTATTAACTAAACATGAAGCAGTCAACCACCTTCTTTTTCTCAGCTTTTGCTCCACAAATCGCTCTAAAAAAATAATAGCACAAATCCAATTGCAGTTCACGCTAGAATTTCGAGATTCTGATCCAACCTAACCCTAGAATGCAGTTAACTTTTCCTTCAAAAGTATACGCTGAAAAGAAGAACCGAAAAGATCGATACTAGGGACTAGGGTCTCTATAAGTAAAAAAAGGTTAACACAGCAAAGGAATCCGATCTTTTATTTACTCGCAGGTTCATATCACCTAGCTCATTTCCAGAAGGAAAAACCCTGGAGGATCTGGATCAGAATTAGAAGTAACAGAGAAAGGGCATGAATGCACAGTATCAGTAAACGGCGAAGAAGGTAATTGAGAGCTCTCCGAAAACTTCTAAGATTACCTATCTTCATCCATTGCAGATCACCGCCTAAGCTCCACGGCCGCAGGAGTATCAGATTCACAGCCGCAGCGAGCGACGTCTCACAGCGGTGAGAGCTGAGACGAAAATGCAGACGCTTTCGGCTTTTCCCTAAATTTCAATTATTTAAATGATTAATAATATTAATTTTTAAAACATTCATTTAAATATTAAAATTCATAACAAAATTATAATAAATATTTTTAATTAAAATTTCAATAATTTGCTAGTGCTATATACAAATATATAAATTTAATAATTTAAATAATAATATAGGTAACTTAGAGTAATTATAAAAGACAAATGATTTATAATTTGGAGTATTTTTTCTCTTATTTTAATTACACTCCATTAATTATCTCTTTTGAATAACTCAATTCATATGTGGATGGTTTATAGTGTTAAACAAAAAATATTTATTTATACTTTTTTATTATTAGTTACATGTTATTTAAAATGTTATAAATTTTGGAGAGAATATGATCATTAACATTTTTTTATATGATCATTAATATTAATTGCATTATACTTCAATTTAAGTGTTTGACTAACCTTAATGTAAATATCTTTGTTTTTATTGTCGTTGTCATGATTAGACATAAATGATATGATATGATGTAAATATAACATAAGATATGATTTATACAATTCATGATTGATATGGGCATATAATAATGTTGGCATAACTGATACAATAGTACATGATATTTATACATATTATATATGAACATGATACATATCATTGCTACAATATAAGATTTAGATTACCTACCACGATCATAAGATATCTCTGAACAAATTTAATGAATGAAAATACCCCGAATAATTTTCTCTCACTTCTTTATCCTCTCTCTCCTTTTTTTCTTTTCTCCCTCTCCCCTCCTCTCCTCTCTTTTTTTTTTTTCTTTACTTAAATGAATGGTGTTACGTGATATATATATATATATATATATATATATATTCATTGGTGTCTGGTACGACAACGCCCTAAACCACAGCGATATTGTGCTACATGTTGAACCCAGAGTTATTGTAGAATTGAGACTTTGATTGTTATAGAGGAGGGTCATTTTGATATAAATTTTGGAGGTTAAAGAACCCCTACATAGTAGATATCATACAATACCCTCTATACTATTTGTTGGCATAAAAATATTGACAAAATAGGTATCCCCCTGGCGGTGGACGCCCTCACTGCCCAAAAATTCAGGCTTACATATGCCCGAGTCTGTATCCAAGTCAATAACAAAATCAAATATCCTGATTTATCCCAATCTCCATAGAGGATGAAATTATGCATTTGAAAATTCATTATGAATGAAGGTCATCTCCATGTGATTGATGCTGGAGACAACCTTAAGAAGGCTAACCCCCTCAGAGGAAGGAGCTTTTCTCGAGCCCCCAACTCTAATAGGAATCAGGATAGGAGCAACAACTCTTCGGCTCAAGTAAGGACTTCTAATCAGGAAGCTAATTCTAAGGCTAGTGCTATCTTTGCACAACAACCCCCTAAATAGGGGTGTCAATTCGGGTCGATGGGTCGGGTTCGGGTCGAACCTGAGCTGACCCGGATCTAAACGGGTAAACTCGAACTCGACCCATTTTTGCAAACGGGTTGAACATTTCAACCCAGACCCGACCTGCTCGAGTTGCTGGGTTGACTCGACCCGACCCGAGTTCGGTTGTACGGGATCACGAGAGGTAGGCTGGAGTCCAAGTCGGACTCGTAAGCTCGCCTGCGGAGCGGAGCTGGTGCGGGCTGAACGCATGATCGCGGGCTTGACACGCGCGAGTTCGCGGGGTCGCGGGACGCCTGGTCAGGCTGGAAGCAGAGCGTGGGATGCCGGTCAGGCTGGATGCGGGACGCCGGGATCCGCCGAGGAGACGCGCGAGGGCTCGTCGGGCTGGATACGCGCGAGTTCGCGGGACCTGACGCGGACGCGACCTGACGAGCTGACGGGACTCGACCTTAGTAGCGAGTTTACGAAATGGGTCAATTCGGGTTAACCCGCGGGTTGTCGAGTCAACCTGAACCCGACCCATTTTTCAAACGGGACAAAAATTCGAACCCGGACCGGCCGACCCGTTTCTCAAATGGGTTGACCCAAACTTAGATTTTTCTGGGTCGGTTCGAAAGTTGACACCCCTACCCCTAAACCTCCCTCCTACATCCCTTCCTCTTCCTCACTGGCTAAACCTCCTCAATCACAACCTGATACAGAACAACCCTCTGCATCCAAAAATCAGCCTTCAAAATATGACCTCGTCCCCAACCTAAACTCCCCTACCGACGAAACCATCCTCACTACAAATTCCCTACATTCCCCAAAACAGACAACTGTCATTGCTTCCCCTAACAAGTTTGATGCTCTTCTGGACATTAAAACGAATGCTTGCTCCACCAACAGTGAACCCACTACTGAAACTCAGTCTGAAAAATAAAAAGAGGTATCCAAGCCGCCTAATTTTAAAGGGGAATCCCTAACCCAACCTCCATCCTCCTCCTCATCTCACACAAAAAATAACCAAGGCAAGCATAAGAAGCCTCAACCATCTACCTCCAAATCCCAATGACCATTCCCCCCATAGCCACTTGGAACATTAGGGGTTTCAATAACCCTAGCAAAGTCATTGTTTGCAAGCAACTTGTTAAAACCCATAAGCTGGACCTAATTTGTATTTTGGAGAATAGAATTCATAGGAATTCTATTGTTGATCCCTGGATTTGTGCTGCACATACTGTGTTTGAATCTGAAGCTAGTTGTAGTAACATTGATCTATCGACATCGAGTAGAATCTGGATTAAATGGGCTGGAGACAGAATCAACTTTGTTCCCACTTTCTTTTCCTCGCAACTTATCTCTTGCTGGGTCACCTATGGGCCTTCTATGTCTTTTTACCTGAGTGTTGTGTATGGCTCCAATTCTACGGAGGAAAGATCAATTCTATGGCTACAACTTTGCAATAATGCTCCTTCCACTGATTTGCCTTGGATCCTTATGGGTGATTTTAATTGCTGCAGATACCAAAATGAGAAGGCTGGGGGTCACCCACTTCATTTTAGTCGCATGGGTGAATTTAACACCTTCATTTTGACAATCACCTTTCTGATCTCTCTTCCACTGGTTTTTTTTATACTTGGTTCAACCAACAGACTGAGAGTCGTACTCACATCAAGCTTGACAAGGTTTTAGTAAATAAGGCTTGGATTGCCAAATATCCTCTTTCCCACTATCTAGCTGACAAACCTATGTGCTCTGACCACAGTCCAATTGTTCCCAAGGATGGTTGTAATCACTTCACTATTAATCGGTTCCAATTCAAAAATTTCTGGACATTTAAGGACGACTATTGGGATATCATGTTAAATATTTTTCTGGAACCTACTGTTGGGAATCCCCTGATAGATTTTTCCAATAAGCTTAGAAAACTTAAACTATCTATCAGAAATAAGGAGTGGGCTTCAGCCAATACTATTCAGCTTACTCTTCACAACCTTCAGGAAAAGTAAGAGCCTCTCCTTACCTTATTGGACTCTGACCCTACTAATCTCTCTCTCAATTTTGCTTTGAAATGCACCAATGGGAAATTTGCCGATTTAACTTCCTCTTGGACTTCCTGGGTATCACAAAGGGCAAAAGCCAAATGGCTTAAGATGGAGAAGATGATTTTAAATTTTTATACTCAAAAATTCGGATGCGGAGGAACTTCAACAATGCTGCTTTTCTACGGCTTTTTGTGGCAATTCAAGGAACATTGGCAATACTAAGCTAATACATGTTGTCCACTTTCAGAATCTCTTCAACCCACTGCTCTTCAGACTTCTGAGATCTCTCGCTTTTCTGTAGGCAGAACCACATCCCCCCCCCCCTCAATGCTTTTGTTTCTCACAGATCCTATCTCCAATACCGAGATTAGGAATGCTGTTTTCTCCAGGGCTTCCTCTTCCTCAACTGGGCCTGATGGTTTTAACTTTTATTTTTATAAGTCTAGTTGGCATATCCTTGGTCCTTCTCTTTGCAAAGCAGTTAAGTCTTTTTTTGTTAAAGGTTATCTTCCAAAAGGAATCAATTCTACTACCATCTTTCTGATTCCCGAAACCTCTCATGTCAACTCTATATCAGACTTTAGGCCTTTTTCCCTCTGCAATACTCTGTATAAAATAATATCCAAAATTCTTGCTACTTGACTCAAATGCATTATTCCACTTATCATTAACCAGGTTCAGGCTGGTTTCATCAGCAATCGGATTTCCACGGATAATGTGGTTTTGGCTTCTGAAGTTTTGGGTTTCTTCAAGAAATGCACCAAGACCCCTTTCTTTTGTGTCAAATTGGATATTAAGAAGGCTTTTGACTCGCTTTTGAGGGAATTTTTGTTGTTGAGAATGGCTCAAAATGGTATCCCCCCTGCATTTATTCAATGGGTTAAAGCTTGTATTACAAATGTTCATTTTTCTATCTACATTGATAGGGGTTTGTAGGGCTTTATCCCCTCTTATGCGGGGCTTCGTCAGGGATTCCCCCTTAGTCCTTATTTATTCTGCTTCGCTATGGATGCTTTATCCTGCTTATTTGATAACATGGAGGAGGGAAGATCATTCCAACCAGTGGATATCAATGGATTTAAAATTTCTCACATTCTTTATGCGGATGACGTGCTTGTTTTTGACAGGGCAACCTTGTCAAATTGTCAAGTGCTTAATGACATGCTTCTTACTTTTGCTACCTCTTCTGGCCTAAAAGTTAACCCTGATAAAAGTTCTATCATCATGCAAGCGAATTCTCCTAATTCTAAGGAAATTTGTGACACTTTATACATCCAAAATCTTTGCATGACTTTCAATTACTTGGGCATCCCCATCTCTATCAAAAGACTTCTCATCTCTCAATTCTCCCCCCTTCTTGATATTATAACTAATAAGCTTTCTAGCTGGAAAGCAATGTCTCTTTCTTTTGCAGAAAGGCTTTAATATCTAAGCTTAACGATTTGGAATACTATCACATATTGGATTCGGGGAGCAATTTTACATAAGTCATGTTGCAAATATATGAAAAAAAAAAAAAGCAAAATTCCTATATTTTGGTGATATAAAGGCTAAAAAGCTTCACTTAGTTTCTTGGGCTAATACTTGCAAACCAAAAAATAAGGGGGCCTTGGGATACCTGCACTTCAAGCTATTCACTATGCTTACGATTGTTCTTTGATTCTTAGAATATACAATTGGCCTTCTCCCCTCTCTAACTGGTTCCTTGCCAATTACTGCTCACCTTGGAACCCCCCCCCCATGTGGAAAAGTATATGCTCCTCTACTGTTAGAGCCAAACCAAATCTACAATTCAACATTACTGAGAACTCTTCTATAAGTCTGAAATGGGATCATTGGTGCTCGGGTATGTGTTTTCAAGAGGTCCCTAATTATGAATTTTTCATTAGTTTTTTTTCTGATAATGCCCCTCTGGTTGTGATCTATGATTCGGTGGATTGGAATCTTTCGATCTATTGCCCTGTGAATTTACAAAACATCATTTGCTCTCTTCCTATTTCTAGATCTGGGCAAGGTAAATGCCTTATTTGGGGCTCTAACAACACTTACAATTTTGGCAATTTCATTCAAGACTATCATAAAGATAATGGGGATGTTTTATGGAGTAATTTTGTGTGGCATAAACGCTTTGCTCTTAGATTTTTGATATATGTGTGGCTTTGTTTTATCGGGGGGTTAAAAACTACAGATGCTTTAAGGAGGAATATTATCGTGGATCCCAAATGCATTTTTTGCCATTCCTACACAAAAAAATGTCTCTCGCCTGTTCTTTGTGTGTGATTACACGTTTTACATCATCACTAGTCTTCTCCTATCCATAAACACCTTTCTCATGAGGCCAAATCTTAGCCAAATTATTGATTATTTCTCGGAAGGTGGCAATCCAAGATCTGGAAGTTTGGCTTTTAATTTGTTGATTCTCTCGGCTATGGTTTATATCATTTGGAGAGAGAGAAATTACATGAAATTTGCTAATTACTTCAAAAGCAATGTGACTATCCAAGCTCTGATTAGAAAGGTGGTTGGTATTAAACTTAAGAGATGGAAAAAATGAAGGTTACATAGGACTCTTCTATTGCTTCTCCACGAGGGTATTTCTGCTGGTTTTGTGAAGGCTTGGTTTTGCCTTACTTTTATGATCTGTTGCATTCATCTATTTTTCAGTCCGATTTTGAATTTTTATGGTTGGGGGCGATGATGTACAGATTGCATCCTCTCCTCCTCGATGGCGATCCTTGCAACAAACTCGTTCTTGACGGCAATGTTGGCAACCGGGGAAATGAACGCCGCTATGTGGATGCACATCTGTTTTTCTTGAGCCAAATTTTATTTCCTCACCTTCAACTCTAGAAGGTTTTATTTTGGGCTTCAAGCTTGGATCTTAATTCTTCGAAGCTGTTTTGTTGCAGATCCTCTCTACTCAGATTATTTTCTTCCCATTCACATGTGTAATTTTGACACCTTATGGTGTTTTTTTTCTTTTCTGCTTTCCCTGACAACTTTTTTTTTTTTTCACAATTTTGGTCATTTTGGTTTTACTACACATGTAACTAGTTTTTTGCATTAATGGAATTTGGGCTTTGCCCTACTTTTCCCAAAAAAAAAAAAAATATTGACAGTTCGACGCTAATTCAACTTTTCCTTCAACTTGAATTTGGGTTGGTCATTCTCAACCTCATTCATTTGAACTTGAACAAGCCAACACCCTAGTATGGACCTCTAGCCCATCCCTAAAGATATTTCAATTACTCATCAATTCTAATCTCAATTTCAATACTTTAGCTCATGTAGTAGGTTAAATTCCAACTTAGCTTAGCTAGGAACTCCACATCAACCTTTTAACACAAGTTGAATTGGATTTGACCTTGGGATAACTACAAGATTTCTATTTGACACAATAAAGATCATAGGAGGTATTCTTAGGTTATATAATCTAAAATCATATGAATTTCCTCTTTATATAAGTTTAACCTTAGCGAGCCCCAAGATAAACCTTTTTCCGAGTTAAGATTTTTAATCCAAATTTGACTCAAAAATTAATTGGGTCAATCCGAACCTGAATTTTTTAAGCCTGGTTATTTATTGACACCTTTATCTAGGGTGCTTAGCAGACCATCATCAGAGGAGCCAATATTTCAGTCGTGGTTGTACATTTAATATTTTAAGGATTATATAATAATTTTTTTTGTTAGTCTTAAGTAACTTTGTTCACGTCCGTGCACACAGACAAATATATAATTTTAATTATTTCCATTAGTTGTTGTTTTTTCTCTCATTTTTAGTGTTATATGCTCTATTCATATAATGAAATAATATTTTTTTTCCATGCTTACCTTTGCTATTTATATTATTTGTTTATGAACTTTTTATTAGTACAAAATGAGTTTTCATATATTTTCATCACATTGTATGTTGTCAGGATGAACCTCTTTTCACACCTAATGCATAATACTGTCGCCACATTTCAACATGGTTGAGATCATCACCACCTTTTAATGCGGACATTGCTGTAAACACCTACACATGACAATCTCTATGCCCTATATTTGGGCAAATTATTAGGTTCAGTCACTGGACCTATCTCTGCGTTTGGATGCCAATAGAAAGCGGACATCTGGTGAAATACAAGTGCGATTTTTTTAATATAATCTTTTTGCTTTATATCTTGTTAGCCCGATCGACCCGACCCAGTTACCCGGCGATGATTTGAATTCAGGACTACAATAATGGAAACGAAGCGTTTTTAGTTTTTACTATTCACTCGACATTTTCACTGCTCTGTTACTCTCTGCTCTCTGCTCTCGGACTTCTGCAATACTTTCCGTTCTATGGAGTACTAGTAAAAAGTTGCGCTTTAAGCGCAACAATAATGCACTTAAAGCGCAACTTTAGCACACGTAAAGCGCAACTATAGCACATTTAAAGTGTAACGATAACGCACGTTTCCATTCTCGTATTGCAGAAGTCCAAGAGCAACAGAGCAGTGAGCCGAGAGTAACAGAGCAGTGAAAATGTTGAGTGAATAGTAAAAATGGTCGTTTCCATTCTTATAGTCCTAAATTCAAATCATCGCTGGGTTACTGGGTCGGGTTAATCGGGCTGACAAAACATAAAACAAAAGATTATATTAAAAAAATCGCACTTGCATTCCGCCAGATGTTCACTTTCTATTGACGTTCGAATGCGGAGATAGGTCTGGTGATCGGACCTAATAATTTGCCCTATATTTGATATCTCTTTCTATTTATTCTTTCTCACAAGGTCCATAACTTCTTCTTTATTCCTTTGTTTGCTACTTTCTTTTCCTTCCTTAACTTTGTTAAAAAAATATTATGTTATATAAATTATGAAATTTAAATGCTAAATATTTAAATGTTATATTTTTATTCATTTCACCACTTTATTTCATGCTATTTATATATCTAATACCAAAAACTTTAATATTACATTCATACCACTCATATATAATTTTAATATCAAATTTATCACTTATATATTTCATTCTTGCCACCCATGTCATCCTATAAACTTTAATATTTTATTTCGTGTATTCATATTTGTTCTATGAATGGTATATATGTAATATTAAAAATTTAGACATTAGGTATGTAAATAATATAAAATAAAGTGATATGCATGTATTTTTTTTTAATTTTATTTTATTTTAAGCCACAAGAGGGCTTCACGTGAATAACAGGGAAAGTTTGTTGGTCCGATTCCAAGGCAGGTGGTTCATTGAAGCCTACTATAAATTGCCCAACGAAGACGACGAAGTTTGGAATCATGCCAGAATTCTGGAGAACGGGATCTCTGCCTTCCTTCCGCTGTTTTCCACAAGTCAAAATTATTCTTCAGTTGTCTTCTGCCGGTCTTTATCTCTCTCGCACCGCTATCTTGTCCCTGTTTTTTCAGTATGGAGAACATAAAGGAGAACAGCGGCGCCGGAGATAAAGATTTCAGCGAAAAACCTAACCCAAACTCTAGCTTCAACTCCGTTGCTGTGGCAGATGCCGGATCGGCTCCCGAGATGGTGCCCCGTACGACAAGTAGAACGCCTTTTACTAGCCTTAGTCAGCTCGACGCTGACCTTGCTCTGGCTCGCGCTCTTCAAGAACAGGTAAGGAGTTTTGATCATATTGAGATATTGTATTATCGGGATCTGGTAGCTGCAGTTTTTTGAGGTTTATGGGATGTTGCGGAATTGACTCAGGAAAGAGCTTTTATGATGCTGAGGATGGATGGTATTGACGGCAGTGATTATGTTAGTTCGTATGGAGGGAGCTATGAGGAGGAAGAGGATGAACTGGATGGGGACCATGAGTTGGTTAATGGTGACGAAAGCAGTGTGGAGGGGAGTGATTATGATGAGGATGGTTTTAATGCTAATGAAAGCAGCATCAACTCAGCGGATTTTGAAAACGACGAGGTTTATGCTAGGGCTGTCCAGGATAATGAGGAGCGGGACGTTGCAGTTCGGTTGATGGCTCCCGCTGGATTGAATGATTGTGAGATTTCCTTTTTTGTATGTCCCTTTTCAGTGCTAACTTAAAAAATTTTTGTTTGAGAAATTGAAATGAAACTTTTTGTGTTCTTAGGGGGCGTTGTTGAACATGAGGATCATGCCAACCATCACCAAGTTAGTAATGAGTATTATTATTATAATTATTATTATTTATGATGCTATTTCCTGAATAACTATAGCCAGTCATGAATTGGTTGTTTTAAATTCTTCTCAAGTTGATGATGGAAGCTAAAACTGGTTTTGACTTTTACTTGTCCACACAGAAAGCAACTTCATGCTTTAGGCGGCAAAGATTTTATTATTTTGTTTGAACATTTACTATGTAATGAAAATTTTAAAATTGTTTTTAAGATTTATTAATTGGTACATTTGGTTTTTGTTGATTAGTTGATTAAATGGCATTGCAAAAGATGTCCTTGGAGTATCAAAGGGAAAAGCTCCCAATAGTAAAAATAGTTGGTGGTGAAATCCTAATGTGCAAGAAAAAATTAAAAATAAGAAGCTTTGTTATAAAAATTGGTTTAATTTTTGTTGTTGTAGTTGATTAAATGGCATTAAATGATGATTTTTCATCTTATTACAAGTTTATTTAAGCGATAAATTGATCATAAATGAGTTTGCAGTTTATATATATTGTTTGGTAGACAATTTTACAAGTGTCATAATGCATCTATTTGCCATTTTAGAATAAACATTGGCCTTTGGAGTTTATATTGAGTGCAAAGATATAAGAATGGCTATAATATATCATTTGTAGATTTTTGGATTGATGCTAAAATATGAATTGGTTGTTCTACTTCTTGATTTACGAACAAGGAACAATTTTCACTCTTGCCTTGTAATTATTTGCCAAAGGACATTATTTTAGTTAGCAGCATGAATAAGACCTCATTGTTGATGCTAGGCAGGTGGAGTATCTTTGGCACTGAGCAATTGCAATGCACATGGTTTTGGGAAAGCACTATGGACAACCTGCCATCAAAAGTGCAATGTTTAGAGTATGTGATTGACTTCTAAAGGCTCGAGTTGCTTAGAGCTACAAAACACTCACCCAATTTAAATGCGTTAAAAAAAAATAGCTATGTTACTAATGAATTTTTCAAATTATGTGATGTATTTTTGAAGGTTTTCAAATAATCAGCATCATAACATGTTTTGTTGGTAAAGTAACAAATTTTTCAATCAATTGCATTCAAGCTTAAAAGTTATACTAAATATATTCTTTTAAATAAATACAGTTGAACTACTTAATTTATAGCATGTTTGGGATAGGAATAATCTAATCTTCACTAAAATTTATTTCATTTTGTCGTTGTTCATGGTCTTGTTTATTGTTGTATTTGGATCCCTCAATGTCTTCATCTATTCGCTTAGATTAATTAATTCAAGATGCAAGTGATAACAATTATCTCTTGATTCAAGAATGTTGATTCAAAAGATCTACATAACCGGCAGGGTACCTTGGTTTAACCCTTTATAGGCTTAAATTTTGAGTTTCACAAAAGAATGGGTCATTCATACCAATTTTAGAGATTTAAGAAAAATTAGAATTAGAGTTTTAGGAGGCAAGCTAGAAGAAAGTGTGTTGGAATATGTGGAGAAATTGTAAGGCAAGAAAAGTATGATTATTACTACATAAGATGCATTCATCAAACCATAAGTAGGGTTTTCTTCCCATGCATGCATGTGTTTCTTGGGTAAGAGAGAGAAGGGAGTCGATCCTTGCTTGGAGTAGAGAGATAAAGAGGTTGTGTGGGATTGAGAACTTGACTTAAATCTTGTTTTCTTGCTTTGGGATTCAAATCTCTTTACTATGGTGATTGATGTCCAACCTTTCTAGGCATGGTATTGAAGAATTAGAGCCTTTGTCATTGAGTATAAGAATAAGGCCAAACATTGTAGGAACAAAAGAAAAAAAGAATGGGTAATTTAATTTCTTGCTTCAACTTAAAAAAATGCATCCTATATAAAGCTATTTATAGCTATTCTACGATATGCTTAAATGGTAAAATCTTATAAGAAATATTATGATTAGATAAGGAAACTCATTGATCCTAGTGATTATTTGATAATTTGAAAGGAATACTAGATACATGGATGAAAAAAATTCCCATCTTTATCCTTAGCCATGCATTGATTGGGGAGAAAAACGTGGATTGCTAGCTTTTTTTCCTTGGAATCCCTCATTTTGGATTTCAAATTAGATTGCTTAGATTCTCTCTCTTTATCATTGTGTCGGGCCCCTACTTATCTCAGGCTTTTATATTTTGGACTAAGGTCCCTCTTCTTTTCGAATTTGATATGATCTTAATAAGAAGCTTCTTTCTCACTTTCTGGATATTTTTTGAACCTCGTTGGGTAGAGTTTGAGGGTGAAGCTCCTCTTGGATCAAGGCTTTAAGAGGAAACTCCTGGATCTTAGTGACTATCACAATTATTTTGATATTTTGAAAGGAATGTTAGTAAATGGGTGATAAAAAATCCCATCTTTATCCTTTATTGGCTATGCCTCAATTGAGGAGGAAAATGCGGATTGCTAGCTTTGCTACCCTTGAATCCTTTAGGGGTGTCGATATTTGATATGACCCAAAAATTCGACCTGGACCCAACCCGAAAATATCTTGTTTGGGTCAACCCGTTTGAAAAATGGGTCGGGATTGGGTTTCAAATTCTAACCCAATTACAAATTTAGGTCGGATTTGGGTCAACCCGAAAATACGAAATCAACCCGGAACTGTCCCAGGTCATGCTAGCATGTGCACGATCGCCCCCGCGCTCACGTGCGCTCTCTCGCTATTACCAACGCTCGTGCCTGCACTCGCACACCCGCGCCTGTCCCCACGCTCGTGCATGCACCCTCATGAAAACTCCAATATTTCTTCTTGTGAAGGCATGAAGACTCCAATATTTCTTCGTATGACTTATTGTTTAAATCTGTTATTCAATGCATTTAATTGAGTAGATTTTATTAAATAACTTCAAGGACGATGAACATATTAAAAATTGATTAAAATTATTCAAAATTTATTTTCAAACATATAAAATTATCTATTCTTTTTTTGATATTTCATCAAGTTGATTATTTATTTATTTAATTATTTCCCTATAGAATTATCTGCTTAATTTTTGTATAATATTATTTCATTTTACTATCATATACTTAATTGGATAATTATTATATTAATGATCACCTATATATGTTAGCAAGCTCAGTTACTTTTTATGTTTCGTTATATATTGAATATATTTATATATGCTTAATTTGATAATTATATCATAATTTACTCAATTATGGATAGCGAGCTTAATTTTAATAACAACAAGATTAGGTTAGGATGAATATTTTTTTTGTTGGGAATTAGGAAGTTTCTAGGTGCTTCTATGCTCAATAGACTTGTGGATACTTTGACATGACAAGAAGAGATATTGGACATGACGATTGTTGTTCTCTCTCATTTTTGTTAAAAGAAAAAGCTTCATTCACTATTCACTCCTCTAAGCACCTCCTCTAAGGGAAATTATTTTTTGCAGAGTCCGAACGTAGAGGATCTTCCGGATTGCTGAATACTTACTGCGTACGTGTTAACCTCTGTATAAAACGCAAGAAGGAAAGAATCTAGAAATCCAGCGTACATGCCTTATGATCGGCGGATCCACGAACTCTGCCGCGAATTCGGCTGAAATCGGCGCCGTTTGCGTCATTTCCCGTAAATCCTGCCCGTGAATCTTGCGATGAGTTCTCGATCGCTGCCCCATTCGCGGCTATAAAACGAATTTATAGATACACAGCAAATACTAAGTCAATCATTAGTTGTGAGCATTTGCTGAGTATTTAATGAGTATTTTTTGCATTTTTGCTGAGTATTTAGTGAGTATTGTTGATTTGATGCTTATTTGCTTTGTATTTATAGATACGCAGTACGTACGCAGTGTGTACACAGCAATCGGAAGATCCTCTACGTTTGACTCCTCTAGGGGGTAGCAGCGGTAGATACCCCCGTTCCCAAATAAAAAAAAAAAAAAAAAATTCACTCCTATGAATGCCCTTCACATTAATGACAAACTTTAGTTACATAGTGGAAAGAGCCTATTTCAGTTTTGGTTTGTCCAAAACCGTCTTTGATTTTGTGTTGTATTGTGCTGCTGCCGAAACTGCCATATCGTGATTTTAATTTGTATGGAAACAAACAACATTTTCTCTGCCTTTTTCATGTCCGTGGCTTCATGATTATGAAGAGTATAATCACGAAACAGCTCATTCATCAATGGAAGTAGCTGTATTTTTTATTTTGTATCGCGTAGCACAACTCAGTATAATTCTATCAGAAAGCCTACTTCATCTCTCATTTGATTTTTTTGATCCAATATATCTTTTTTTTTTAATACACTCCTTACGCGTTATGGTTGCAGTGCTGAGATTCTTTCTTACAGTCTTAGTGTATAATTGAATGTACGTTTTGTTTATTTATTTATTGTATCATACATAATATAAAAGGAAATCACATATCCTTGAATGTTTTTTGTTCTGCTTTTAAAAAATTTTGACTCCTTATGCTAGTGCTATGCTGGGTCAAGTCTTGCATCAGTGCTTTCAGGTTTTATGTTGCTGAAAATATTAGGATGGATTTGGGGTTAAAGGGGATAACAATATTTGGGTGGATTTTAACAAAATTATGAAGGATTAGCAGCCACCAGCCTTGTCAGCATCAGAATGTGTTATATGAGTTTTACGTATGTACTTTTTGGTTATTTCTTTACTTTTCCCTTGTATATGTGTTTTATTTGTTGGTTAATTAGGGTTTTGTTGCTTGTAGAGGGTTGATTTGTGGCGGTATAATATTTTGGATGGAGGTTTAGAACTCAAAATTTGACCCGGATTTGATTTTGGAAAAGTACTGCGTTCACAAAATGGATGCATCTGCTTCCCACATTGTTCCTTTTGGAAATACATATTAGTGAATTTGTACTAAAGTGAACTTGTAAAGAAATATGCAGTCTTAGCCTCTAATTTTTTTCCCATATTAGGATGCATGGCAGGAGTTTGATCCTGATGAACTGTCATATGAGGTAAGATCAGTTCCTTGCATCATTCAGTCATCATTCAAATGTCTATTCGTGTTATATAATATCTGTCATCTTTCTATTATTGCAGGAGCTGGTTGCGTTGGGTGAGGTAGTTGGTACTGAGAGCAGAGGCCTTTCTGTTGATACTATAGCTTCATTGCCTTCGTTCAGCTATAAGGCAGAAGAATGTGAAGATAGCAATAGTGACCAGTAAGATCACTACTTATAGTGGAACATGTCATGTGAACCTTGTGTAGTTTCCTTTTGTTTCATTTTATTCATGAGAAGTAATGCCGTGCGAAAGTTTACCTTGTAGAAATTATATTATGGCTAGTTCTTTAGCATATATTTTAAAATGGTTCAAAACAAAAGTATTGTCTAGCTTGAATTTAAGTCGGTGAAGGTAGAGTACAACTGAAAGCCCCTTTCCTTGCATCATTCTTAGTTCCATCATTGGAAGAACGAAACAATATTTGATAATGTGATATAGGGAATATATTGCGAATGTTCAACGCAAATACATTCTAATTTTTCCCTGTACATGAATTGACACAGAGTAAAGTTATACTGAATGTTGAAGTCCTTTTTTGTTGGGAAATAGTTAAAATCTAATCCAATCATAGATTGTGAAAAAGAGAGGAAGATTGAGACTAAACCCAAATTTATGTAGGTTCACCCATATGATGTTTACATCTTGTTGTTGTTGCTTAAGATGTCACTATGAATTGATGATAATGAATAATATCCCTAATTCTTCTGAAGTATACATCTTTCTTTTAAAGAAAAACTTAGCGCAGTTGAAAAGTCATAAAATTTTGAAAAATCCCCCGAGTAAATTTGGATAATGTGTTTTCTTCATAGGGTAATTATTTGGTTCGACATCTTAACATCTTTCTCAATCGTTCAATATTCCTCTCATAAAGTAACAAAACAATATTTTGGCATGGCCTAAGGTTAGCATTCTTGACGAGGGATTAAATATATTTATAAATCTTGTCAAGAGTGTTAGGAAGTGTGTTTGGCTTTTGGTTGTATTGGAGATTAAGCAGAGTTAAGGATTTGATAAATAATGGTTGTCCAAGGGTAAAATTAGGTTAAATATGAGAGCTTGCTTCAAGAGGAATTAGGGTTTTGGGGTGGAGAAAATATGAAATCTTTGGACTTAAAAACACTTTGAATAGTTAAGGTAGTATACTTGTATGTCTAGATTAAATGTGGAGAGTTTCATTATTTTCTAAGAATATTAAGTGGGTTGAGAACAAGATTAGGGCTTGTTGAAATCTCCTTTTGCTGACAATAATTATTTGAGTTTATGGTTTTAGTGGAGTGGTTTACGGTGAGGATAAAGCTCTAGAAACACTTGCAAATGGTATGAAATGCTATAATAATGAAAGTAGAAGAATTTTGCGACAAAAGATAATAGGTGCTAATAAGTAAGCCTATCACCCACCAAAGTGGCAAGTATTAAAGGAATCACACAACTCCTTTAATGTTTGAGGCCAGTCAGTCACCAATCCCTCATTTATGGAATAAACTCCAAAGTTTTTACCAAAGACTTGTACAAAATCTTTCTTCATTTCATCAAATAACTATTTATAAAGTTTCATGTAAATTTCAAAATTCAAAAACAAGAGAAAGGGAGCGAGATAGGGTCAACCCAGATAAGCTTCAATTGTGGTTGGGGAAGTTGCAAGGAGTTCCAACTTCTTCTCTTCTTCCTTTGCCATCCATGCATGGAGGGAGAGGAGGTTATTTAGTAGTTTAACTCCCAATAAGCACCGCTCATTTAAATTTAAAAACCATTCTCTCCATACAAATTCAAATTTCTAATTCAAAATTTGAATTCCAAAATTTTGAAAAATCAAAATATTAAAAAAATCAAAATTACAATCACATAGTTCTTATACAATAAGATAATTCATAAAAATATAAATGTTAAATTTCCATCCTTAATTAGCCTCTTGTTCTAGTCCATTGTTTGCTTGTTTGAATCTATCTTTTTGCTTTAAGCTCCAGTGGTTGGTCCAATTTTTTTGCATTATCACCATGTGCCTCATCATATTTAGTTCTAAATAAAAGAAATGCATTGGAGAGCTTTATTAGAGATAACCTGATGCGGACATCCAATCGTCCATGGCTATCCGAGGAGTTGAAAATCAACGGCTGTCATCGTCCCACATTATCTTATATTTTATTTGTAATTTTTAAATTTTTATTATGAATTTTTCGTTTTTACCCTCACTTAAGAGGGTCGTCCTATGTAAGCCTTAGGGGTATATGTGTCTTGTTTTAGTTTCTTAGGCCTATATATAGAGACCCTTTCTTATATAATGAGATGATGAATGGTTAATGAAAATTTGCTTTTTGCGTTCTCTTTGTGAGTTCCATCTTTTAGATCTCTTAGTGAGTTCTTTTTCTTTTGAGATCTCTTAGTTAGTTATCTACTTTGTGTTCTCTTTGTGAGTGCATCTCTCTCTCAAATCTCTTAGTGAGTTTTGAGAAGAGCTAGATCTCTTTGTGAGTTCTAGACCTTCTTCTCCATTATCTTTGTGATCAATTGGTGTGGGAAATCAAAGTGAATCCGTGACATAGTAATCCCTAGTAGAATTGCCCTTTTCCTCCCTCCTTGGATCCTTGCCGCCGCCCCTTTCCCCTAGCCAACCGCCGGCCAGCCTCCCGCCGACCAACCCAGCACCCCATCCCGCCGGCCTGCAAAGCCCTCCCGCCGGCCAGAAAACCGCCCAGCGGCCCACCGTCCACCGTGGAGTCTTGCCGACGGCCACCCGTGAAGCCTTGCCGCCGGTTTCCCTCTAGCCCACCTATTCGAATTTTGAATTCTCCTCCCCTAATGAATTTCCTAATTAAGTCAAATTAAATTAGGATATTAATTACGGGGTGTTACAATCTTTTTGAAATTCAAATTCCCTCCCAATTTTCTTT